CTGGCCCATTCCTCCTGCAGAATTGCTGTAACTGAGTCAGATTTGCTCGCACACGCTTTTTCATGTCTGCCAACACATTCTCTATAGGATTGAGATCAGGGCTTTGTGATGGCCACTCTAAAACATTCACTCTGTTGTCCTCAAAGCACATGTGAACTCATTTGGCAGTGTGCTTAGGGTCATGGTCTGCTTATTGGCATTTCTTTCAAGGTGCGTGCTCAGTAGTCACGTTTTAATCTTCATACCAGACTTTTTTTAGCGTTATTGGCAATGATGTTCGGTCAATAAACACAGATTACCCTCTTATCAGCCCAGCTCTAGTACACTCTTAAGATACACCATTTCAATCTGTTAGTTTTCAGGAGAGACAGAGGTAGGCACACAGGTTTGAACTGACAGCAGACTGCACGCATGTCAGCTTGTGAAGGTGTAAATGTGCAGGTGATTTACCTCAAGAGAGTCAGTCTTCTCGGGTTCACTCCTGAATCGTTTCCTCAGGTCAATGTCCCGGTCAGTTGGAAGGCCGAGTCTTGACATGCTGTCGAAGAGCGCTGCATCAGATCCGTCTATAGTGTCCTTCATCTCGGTGTCCTCAGAAGACGGAGCGGCACCTCTGGTCAGAGTGTCTATTAGCTTGATGACCTCTAGCACCCCCTGGGCCTTGTCTTTGCGCAGGTCCGTGTCGAGGCTGGTCTTTCCAAAACTGTCCAGCATCTCAATGACTTTCAGTGCACCCTGATTCTTGTCCTTCCTCAGGTCGGTGTCCTGAAGGCCAGCGCTGCTCAGGACAGTGGTGAGGGATGGGGAAGTCTGCATCTCACCTGTTGATGAACACACATCATTAGATTATTGACCAACTGCAGTCGACATGCAGCTTTTGGAAATTAACCAAATAAACAAATAAATATAATAAAACATAATAAATAAAACACATATTTGTAGAGCAGCCCTGTTGACATGAATGTTTTCATAAACTTTAATAGGTAAAACTGTCTGAGATAAGAACAAAAGCAGCTGATGCTTCACTGAAGTATCTTAATACAAAATATTAACCCATTTTTTTTTAAATAAATGTATGATAAACATTGCCCTCCCCGTGCATAAACATGCAATTCACTACCTGAGGTCAGACATACTATCCCGTATTTTAATTTGGTCTCTTACCAAACATTAATAAAATGATTAATGGGTCAAAATTATGAAAGCAGGCCAAGTTATGTACAAAAACAAACCAAGCGTGCTCTATTGATGACCTCTGCAACAAACTAAATGACCATACAATCAATCTGATATACGGTATCTGTTACCTGTAACAAGTTTGCTTATTTATCTATTTATTCATTCATTCATGTATGTATTCATGTATGTATGCATTCAGTCATTCATCTATGTATTTATGTATTTTTTATTTATTTATTTATTCATTAATTAATTCACTTATTTATATATTTATGTATTTATTTATTAACTTATTTATATATTTATTTATGCATTTATTTATTCATGTATTTATTTATATATTTAAGTACTTATTTATTTATTTATCTATGTATTTATTTATTTATATATTTATGCATTTATTTATCTATTTATTTATGTAATTATTTTTTGCATTTATTTATTCATTTATTTATGTATTTATTTATATATTTATGTATTGATTTATTCATTTATGTATTTATTTATTCATGTATTCATCTATTTATTTATGTAATTATTTATGCATTTATTTATTCATTCATTTATTAATGTATGTATTTATTTATTAATTTATGTATTTATTTATGTATTCATTTATTTATGTATTTATCTATTTATTTTTGTAATTATTTATTTATTCATTTATTTCATTCATTCATTATTATTATTATTATTATTCATTCATTTATTTTTTATTAATTTGTATTTATATATATATATATATATGTGTATGTATTTATTTATTTTTCTAATGTATTTATGTATTTATTTATTCATTTTAATATTTGAAGATTAAAATAGTTATAACAGTTTTAATGCCTTTAACATTGATGATAATCACATTTCTTCCAGTTTCTTCTATTCAGAAAGTGTTCTGATGTGGTAGAGGACTCGACCGGTACAGGACGCTCCTCACCTTCTTCAGCAGTGGACTGATTTCTGTGGCGTTTTGAGCTCTCTTCATGGTCGTCCAGATCCACTTTCCTCTTGAGCGTGCAGGTGTCCTCCACAGCTTCTGGACCTGCGGTGTCTCCCTGCGAGTCCTTTCTGTTCATCTGAATGAGTTTCAGTAGCTCTTTTACTTTCACTGGGTCATTTTGAGAGGCTGCTTTCCTCGTGCTCGGCTCAGACGGAAACTGGAGCTCCTCCACCTTTTTCTTCACGTTTTCTTGAACCATTGTGTATTTGGCCGGGTTGAAGATGTAGGGCCGCATGAAGCTCTCCCAGTTTGTCTTCTGCCTGGGGGCAGGGAACAGCTTTTCCCTGACGTCCAGTTTGGGATCATAGTCAGTCCTAATGCGCTGTACAGGCTTGCCTTCACGAAGGTTAGTGAGGTAGTCGTAAACCTGCTGCTCTACGGTGGTCCCAAGTTCAGCAGGAGGGTCACTGCGAGACTTGCTGAGAGTGGAGTGGAGAGCAGAGATGAAGGAGTCATGCTGAGGCATCATGGAACTGTGATGATCCGACGACACAGGTTTGCAGCTCTCCGAAGGATTTGAAGCTTAACAAAACACAAACATTACATTATTAATAGTACATGACATATATAAAACACTACAACAACAACAAATGATCTGTTACTGAGCCTAGGGCTGCTCCATTATCAGAAACACTGAGCTCAAAGGCTCTGAGTCTGAACACTTAGGCCCTTAAACTGGGTCTGAACATTGTCTCCAAATACTCACAGCTCTTTAACGTTCCGCGCTTCTCGCTGTAAATAAAAAGTGCTTGCATACTGGACATTTTCCAGCCATTTCGCCGCTCTGTAAAATAAAAATCATATGGGGAATTTCAAATATCCGTTTGCTCATGCCAAGATTACACCATCACTAGATCTTACCACTAGAATTGGCCAGTTGACCAGCAGAGAGCAAGAAGAGAAACCCTCTGTCCTTCACCATATTCACCAACACCTGCAGTGAGTAGACCAAAATCAGTGAAGAAGCAAGAGATGGAGCCATGCCAAACAGTGAAGCTGCCCAATCGACACTCACCAGACCCTCCTCCTCCAGCTTCTGCATCAACAGCCTCAAACTCTTCGGAGATTTGTCTTCCTCCACCACGTCAAACAGACTGCAGACCATGCCAGCTTTAAACACTGGAAAACAAACAAGCATTGCACATCTCGAATACAACTCTAACATACTTCAAGCAGTGTTCCCCCCACCATTAAAGCAGTGTTCCCCCTACCATTAAAGCAGTGTTCCCCCCACCATTAAAGCAGTGTTCCCCCTACCATTAAAGCAGTGTTCCCCTACCATTAAAGCAGTGTTCCCCCAACCATTAAAGCAGTGTTCCCCCTACCATTAAAGCAGTGTTCCCCTACCATTAAAGCAGTGTTCCCCCCACCATTAAAGCAGTGTTCCCCCCACCATTAAAGCAGTGTTCCCCTACCATTAAAGCAGTGTTCCCCCAACCATTAAAGCAGTGTTCCCCCTACCATTAAAGCAGTGTTCCCCCTACCATTAAAGCAGTGTTCCCCCTACCATTAAAGCAGTGTTCCCCCCACCATTAAAGCAGTGTTCCCCCTACCATTAAAGCAGTGTTCCCCCAACCATTAAAGCAGTGTTCCCCCTACCATTAAAGCAGTGTTCCCCCTACCATTAAAGCAGTGTTCCCCCAACCATTAAAGCAGTGTTCCCCCTACCATTAAAGCAGTGTTCCCCCTACCATTAAAGCAGTGTTCCCCCTACCATTAAAGCAGTGTTCCCCCCACCATTAAAGCAGTGTTCCCCCTACCATTAAAGCAGTGTTCCCCCAACCATTAAAGCAGTGTTCCCCCTACCATTAAAGCAGTGTTCCCCCTACCATTAAAGCAGTGTTCCCCCCACCATTAAAGCAGTGTTCCCCCTACCATTAAAGCAGTGTTCCCCCCACCATTAAAGCAGTGTTCCCCCTACCATTAAAGCAGTGTTCCCCCTACCATTAAAGCAGTGTTCCCCTACCATTAAAGCAGTGTTCCCCCTACCATTAAAGCAGTGTTCCCCCCACCATTAAAGCAGTGTTCCCCCTACCATTAAAGCAGTGTTCCCCTACCATTAAAGCAGTGTTCCCCCTACCATTAAAGCAGTGTTCCCCCTACCATTAAAGCAGTGTTCCCCTACCATTAAAGCAGTGTTCCCCCAACCATTAAAGCAGTGTTCCCCCAACCATTAAAGCAGTGTTCCCCCTACCATTAAAGCAGTGTTCCCCCTACCATTAAAGCAGTGTTCCCCTACCATTAAAGCAGTGTTCCCCCTACCATTAAAGCAGTGTTCCCCTACCATTAAAGCAGTGTTCCCCCAACCATTATATAAGGGAGGAACCCGCCCCCACAACGGCTGTACGCGCCCCCTTGAGGTTGTATTATCGACAAAGTTTTTGTTAAATAATTATATAAATAATATCTTATTTACACAGCAGCATGTTATTTCTGTTCTGCACTCGCGTCACAGCAGCTAAAATGTATACAGATGCAGACATCTCAAGTGTCTCGAAAGTTCCAGAGTCTCCCGCAAACGCACAGAGGGAACACAGCATCACATTTCTCACAGGACTCGTTCTGTTCTCGCCATCTCCCAAGGTGGTTCTTCTGAGGTAACTTGCCACGACCGCTCTCCACAAGAACACCAGTGCGTTCTTGGAATTAAGAAAGCGCCAGTGTATTGATACACGAGCAGTTCCTTGTATACAGCACATTATTAATGCATATATGCTGTGTGTTTAAGACATTCACAATGAATTTCGCTTCATCGTGCACACAAATGCTTAATTGTTTTTAACATTTGATTCAGATGACAATTAATTTTTGGATCACGTTGGAACTGTGTTTCATATAGATTATTGATCACCCCCTAATTTATACTTTTACATCTAAATGCACATATACACCTGCAGAGGAAATTAAAATAATTATAAAATCTGCATTTTCAGTTATAATTTATTGTACTGTACAGCTGTAACAACAGTAAACATTATATTTCATATGGATACGGATATAATAATATTTATTATTTTTTATAATACAATATAATTTAATATAATTGTATTATATTTATATATTTAAATATATTTTTTAAATATTTTTAATTTAATTAATAATAATTAAAAAAAATTTAATTATAAAAAAATT